CTAAAACCAGGTTGGAAGGTGTCTAAAATATTATTCGAAGTAAAAAAACTGTTAAGTTGTAGGTAGACAACCTTTTCATTTATTTTGCTTCAAAATGGTAAATTTGAGACTGGCCTGTAATTACTGATTGTCAGCGTATCGAGGGTGTTCTTTTTTAGCAGTGGCTTAATAACTGCAGTTTTCAAGCCCTTAGTGAAGTCACCTGAATGGAGTGACATGTTCACAATCTGCAGTACATCTGAGGCAATATAACAATAGGCACTTTTAAAAAAGTTTGACGGAAGACTATAAAGACTACATGTAGTTTTTTTTTAGATGGAGTATAACTTCTTCTAGTGTTTTATGGCTGACTGGAACAAACTTTGACATTTTGGCTTGGTTAATTCTGTGTCCTTTAAAATCTTTTCTGTGAAGAACAAAGCTAAATCATTACATTTCTGAGTGGAGATTAGTTCAGGGGCTATTTCCATTCTGGGGTTAGTTAACCTATCAATAGTGGAAAATAATAAACGAGAGTTATTGATATTTTTGTTGATAAGAGCAGAGAAAAATGATTGTCTAGCTTTCTTCAGTTCAAGACCGTAGGTGAATAGTTTTTCTTTGCAAATATCATGATGCATCTTGAGTTTTGTTTTCCGCCACTATTCGTTCAGCTTTCCGGCATTCTGTTTTTTGAAATTTCACAGATGGCAAATTTCTCCATGGTGCTTTTGTTTTACCAAAGATTTTCTTAACTTTCACGGGCGCAATGCTGTCGATGATATTGGTCAGTTTTGCGTTAAATGTATCCACCAGATTACTAACAGAGTTTGGTGTGAGAGCAGGCGCAGCTAAAAAGTAGTGTGTTGTATAGGTTTTTGTTGCATGTAAAGCTCTGACTAAAATCCCAAAGTTGACCTGAAACGCATCCATTGGACTCAACTTTACTACCAGGGCATAGTGACATCACTACGTAACACTTATGCTTCTATTGGCTAGCGCTCCAACACATTGTACATGATAGGCTAAGAGGCGGGACATCTCTAAGCGGTTGACCAATCACAACAGAGTCGGCCAGCTAACCAATCTGGGCTCTGGTTTCAGGGTGAAAAGAGGTGCTGCAGCACAGGCAGTATGAGAAAACTAAAGAGCTTTTTGAACATTAAAGCATGGAGACATGTCACAGTAGAGACACTACATACTGATATGAACCTGAAAATGAGTATAATAGGGGGTTTTATGACTATTTTATCTCTTATTGAAGCAACAAACCGACACCCTCAACCTGTTACTCATTTCCTCAAGATTAAAAGGTCATACAATTCTCACGAACAATTTCAGTTGGTTGATGAGATCAACTTCACAGAGATATGAGCTTTGCCTTTACACCCACCCACGTGCTCTTTACCTCAGCATAACACAAATACTTCTACAGGAAAATGTTTCCTCTGAAGTCATGGCAGATTCTTGTCATACCTTTTAAAATGTGTTTAATTTCTAGAAAGCTTGACATCATAATAAACGAGGAAGTAAAGTTCCATGTTTGAAAGATTTGGCAAAAATATCAGGTTCAAGGTATGTACTTATCATGGCTGCCTACGTCACCTTAAATGACCCAGTGATTCGTAAAAATACAGGACAAAGCATCTAACATATAATTACATACTTTTATAGCTAAAATATGGTTTAAGGAAACATTTATCAAATGTTATTTTTGTACCAAACAGTGTTACCAGAATTAGCTTTCATGATGGTCTCATATGTGTGACCAAAAGGACAGTATCACTACATCCTTTGCTTAGAAATGAAAGAAACAGGTTGAAAAATAATGGCATCTCTATCTCTTCTGTCAATATACAGTACACTGGAATAAACATCATATTTTATCTTGAGTAGCTTTCCACATGTATGAATGGGAACTTGTCTCGTGGCTTTTGTTAGAGCAGCTGTAGTCTGCCGGCCTTGAAGGTACTCACTTCTCCAGTAGCAGTCAGACAGATGGATGTCCTCCGTCTTCACAGAAGTAGAGTAGAGTTAAAACATGTGGCCTGGTCCACGTCAGAAGAACTTCCTTTTCTCTCAGACACATGCAGCTCTGAGAGGAAAGAAAAAAATGAGAGAGGTAGTAATTTGCGCGCGTGAAGACATTTCCTGCCATGTCACAGTCAAGCCACTCCCTGTTTTCTGCAGCCCTGAAACT